TCGCGAACTCTCTCCTCCTACGCCTGGGACGTAAAGACCGACACCCGTTTCAGGCCACATCGGTGTGCATTTACTCATTCACTTGCTCCTGTGGAGCGGGATACATTGGCCGTACAACGAGGCGCCTGGAAAAGAGAGTACGTGAACACACACCGGCCTGGCTAGGCAAAGGTGAGAAGAAATCGATCTCGAGTTCTATCCTCGCACATCTTGTCGATACGAATCACCGAGTCGATGCCAAAGAAGCCTTCCGGTTTGTCTACGTGACACCGGCATGTTTCGCCAGAGGCCTACGCCAACGGATGATAGCTACAGCCGAGGCAGTGGCTATACGTCTAGCCAATCCAGTGCAATGCTGTCAAAAGACTCTGACACAGGCGCTCTGTCTTCCATGGCCGACGCCGACCCCAACGTCGCCGCAACCTCCGGATGCCAGGGTGTGTGCACAAGGTACCCGACGTACTCGCAGCCTATGCCCCCCTTCTTCCTCGCCCCCTTGATTCAGTGGCCACGACACGCGACCACGCTATAGCACGCCTCGTCATGCGAGTGGCGTGGGAACGATGGGTGTTAATAGCCCCTGAATCACTTATAAATCCTGTAACTTCGCATAATTTAAACTTCTATGTTACCGTTTTGGCTTGATGTAGAGTTGCCGAAAACACGTGTTTGCCAAATGGACTTTTCAATTGCAACATGAGAATATTCGCTGAAATCAGTAATCAAGCAGTTTCCCTGATCCAGTCTCGGGGGTATCCTGAATGTTTGGCTCTGAATTAATTTTCTGGCAAACCAGCCACACAAAAACCCAGAGTTTGGCAAGATCCCGAGATGGGAGCTGGGATCACTCCGTAAGACCAGCCGCGTGTTCACGATCTGTTGGATGTGATTGAGAAGACTTAAATTCACCGAGGAGTAGTTGTGGCGGCTAGCCAACATGACCGGTCTGGCATCAAGGTCATTCGCCCCTTTGCAGTGAGCCGTTCTAGACGCGCTGACATGAAGTCACACGACCGACAGCTCGGGCATACCCGCGTCCGCACAGTCGCAGCTACCCATGAGGCCACCTGAACGCACCGCCCCCCCATGCAACCACAACCTAAGCCACTAGGACACCACCCCTCGGCCAATGCAACACACACTGACTGGCCACCACTTGAGTTTGGCCCACGAGCCTACAAAAGTGGCTGCCAACACAGTCCAAGGAACTCTCAGGCGCGGTCAGCACCGGCCCTGGCTTCGCCAATGGCCACTGCCGCCTGAGAGGACAACTCCGGTTTCTGTGCACAATAAACCGCCTCATTCTGGTGTCATTTGTCTTCTCCTTTCGACTTGAGATTCGACCTGCTGGTTGTAACGCTCAGAGCACTTACTCACGCAGCTGTATCGCTACATAGTCCTCACTGGCGTAGTCTGATTGAAGGGTGAAGCGCTACTAAACTCTCAGGCCTTCTCTGTCTGCGTCTCGAGTGCGGCTGACTGACGATGGCACCCTGCTTTGCGGCCTTGCCAGGACATTTATTTGTAGAATAAGGCCTGGCAGCGTCCTCCGAGTCGCACATGGATT